TTTTTGCAATGACACAGGGGAGCCAATTTCGGTAACTGTGACCTGCTGGAGATCTGTGAAAAAGAGCTTTATAGCTCATCGGATTCCTTCAGTATAAATGAATATTCTGATACTGCATTATCCATATTATATGACGCACTGCCCCCTCCCCCCATTTTTTTGATATTTAAAAGTTGGGGTACATATTATCATGAGAATACGGTATCCCTTTTGGCTGCCAATCCAGTGCTAACATTCCAAATATCTACGACACAGGGGCAGAAGGTATCTCGATCGGTCGACTCCCGTTGACTTCCCTTTGAAATGCCATTAATGTATCGATCTCCCAAATGGAGGACACACTCAGTCGACACCCGACTGGAATTTGAACTCTTAACCTTCCAATCCGCGAGCCAGCAACTCTAACCGCAGTGCCACTCGCACTCACACTCCCATCAGGGACAAAAAGGGTCATAGTTGGGCAGAGTTAGAGTTGTGTTGGTGGTGGAGTGCAGTAGTGGTGAGTCTCCACACACCAACACAGGTGTGTACGCTCGTTCCTTCACGAGTGCGCTCAGCAGTTCCCTGGCCGAGCGGCGCGAAAGGGATTTCCGACAGTCGTGTGGATTCTGTTTTATTTTCTCTGCGTTTATTCAAATCCGTGGCGCGACTGCATGGAACGAAATGGATTAGGATCGCCATGGCTGTAAGCAGACATGGCAGCGGTAGCGTTGATCCTTGTGCACACAAGCACTCCGTGTAATAGACATGCCATCTAAGCCTGTGGGATCACAGTTTTCCGAGCGAGGAGTTTAGTGCGTGAGTTCTCTCACACAAACCGCGTGGAGACGGTGACACACACACACACGGGCTTATATAAATGATAGAACAGCGATCAGCAGCAGCCATGATCACTCCACTGCTGGATGAAGTTATTCCCAAGCAGTCGCCATCTCCCACTATCCGGCGATGCATCAAGCCACCCAGCTACTCCGCACACGATCTCAGGACTCTCGGACGCGTCCTATTCCAGCAATCCCTTCTACTAGCGAAGTGACCCGCCCAGCAAGCCCACTTTTCTCAACGCTGATAGTTACTGCTTATCTTTAAATTGCATGGCATCACCTCTCTCCATTCAGGTTAAACGTGTGACCGTTGTGCTGTTTAAGTAGGATTAAATCGTGACTCACGGCGATCATTAAATCCCATTGTATTGTGGAGTTGTGCGCTTAATAAACAACTGCAGAGGAGCATGTTAAAACACGCCAGCCATCGGCGAGTGTAAGACCTTCATACGTAGCTTCGACACCGCTCCATTGTGTTCGCTGCCCGAGTTTGTTTATACGCATTACCTGACAGTTCAATAAGCCTAGCGCGACACGAGACGGAAGCGTGTGGGGGTGCTGTGTTTAATAGCAAAGTCGATCTTTTAAGTGGCATGGATAATATTATTCAATTCCATTGATGTCTTCGGGCGTGCTTGATATCGCCCGCACATTTGACAACACTCGCTGGTAAGAGCTCATCTAATGCAGCGTAAACCAAAACATTGGGTAGATTAACATTTTCAATCTAGTATTAACGGAGCTTAGAAGAGTCAGTCGATCGATTTCATAACGCACTACCAAGGGATGAGAGCGCGGTGGCATAAGTTGACTTTGCGCTGCACTATGAACCCGGCAAATGTGGGTTCGATTCGCGCCCACGGCTAACATCAGTGGCGAGTTGGTGTCCCGAGCGATTCTGGACTCCTTCTTCACCAACCCCTACTTCCCAGCGTGGTGAAGTATGGCCTAACAACCCTGAATAACGAGGCCGACATAAATCGCGAGGAGACCTCCATCCAGCAGTGGATTGACATAGGACCGAAATATATTATTATTAATGAAGGTGTGGCAGAGGACGTGCCAAATTATATTTAACTCACTGGCAGACGAACACTACATTTTTTATTACAATGACTCTCAGGGGTTCCATCATTCCGCCTGAGCGTCAAGTGTATGGAAATTATTGCGTTAAAGGGGATTTGTGTTTTTGTGAAACAACGCAATTATATTCGGGCGGAATGCAGCTGTGACAGAATAAGTTCAGTATCAACGGCAGTGTCAACAGCAGCATGTAACGTGGGGTCGATTAGCACGGCTGGCTACGTACGGTGCGAAATAAGTTCATCATACATACGTGTATTTATTTAATCTCGTTATTCTTACGCTTCACGTCCCACCCTGGGCCGACGCCGCCGCCACTCCTCGTAAAGAGTAATGATCTAAATCAGACGCAGGCTTCCCCAGAACAGAGCGTTTCTACGAGAGACTCAATGGCCCTTTCCATCTCCGTGTGCACGGGCCCAGGAGTGCTGCGTCGAATACGGTTCACGAAGAAGGCTGCGCGTGCACACGCTGCGCAGGGACACGTTGTTGCTCTCGTCTTGCCGAACCTGGGCTCAGAAATGTGGAACAACATCGCCAACTGTCCCCCATTGTTGCTCATTCACTGGCCACATCTCTCATATTCAATCCGCATCTCCCGAAGTTATTGATCGGATATTTTAACTCAACGCCACACCTTAGAGTGTTGCTAATCTCCTCCACGCGACATCATGACGGCTTCTCTGGAGGCGGGGGTTGGCGGGTTGTGCGGAGATTTATGACGAGACGCTCCAGCTGTCGGCCTGCATAGTGGCCAAGGGGTGTCAGTACAGCAAGTGGAATCGTAGCTCGTCTGGACGGATTTTGACTGTTGCCATCTGTGGGGGATTCCCACCCACATGCAAACACACAGTTCTCGGTGAGGCTTTCCTGGCTAAATAGATGTTAATTGTAGCTGACATTACAAGGTTCTCATCGATCGTGTAATTACACAAATGAATGCCATGGGTAATTCTAAATGGCGAGGACTTTACCCAATGACACGTGGGTGACACACGGGAGGCGCTTTGTGATCGCTGGACCGGACTGCGTCGTTTTTTTTTCTGCCACACGCCCCCCCACACACTGCCCTGTTGGCAGCTTGGCAGCACCACGAGGAAGGTCAGCGAGAGACTTGGAGAAGAGTGAGAAACGGGGAGAAGAGAGAGAGAGACGGAGTGGAAGAGCGAGAGAGACGCGGAGAAGAGGGAGAGAGACGGGGTGAAAGAAAGGGAGAAAGACGGGGTGGAAGAGGGAGAGAGACGGGGTGGAAGAGGAAGAGAGACGGGTGGAAGAGGGAGAGAGACGGGGTGGAAGAGGGAGAGAGACGGGTGGAAGAGGGAGAGACACGGAGTGGAAGAGGGAGAGAGACGGAGTGGAAGAGGGAGACTTTTGACTTTTAAACAACTTTTATTGCCTCCAGCAGCAAAAGCACTGGAGGCGATTTCGATATGAAATACACAGTCACCAGCAAACTAATGAAAATAAACGTTACAAATCCACGCGCTGTGGCGCTAAAAAGCACCGCGCACAACACGAAAGAAAAGTCACGTGGTTGTGGTGGTCATTCGCGCACGCCACGTTGACGAGCGAGCACTTCAGAAGGTGAACACGAGGGTGCCGTCCATGCTGGTACAGAGGGCTTTTCCGGGTCCCCAGCGTTCGAAGATGACGTGCACATCACTGACATGTGTGTGGTACATGGCGTGCTCCAGGCGGTGCCGCGTCTTGAGCAGGCCCCTGAACACTGGAAGCACGGAGCAGCCGTCAGTGTCACCTTGCAGCATCTTTTTCCTCGTTCTGTACACCGCCATCTTCGCCTGAGCACAAGCGAAGTTGGCGAGGTCATGGCATTTGTTAACCAGGTAAGGCAGGGGGTAATGCCGACAAACGAAGGCGGATCATAACCTGTGCTGGCTGGAAGACCTGCCGGAGGTGGCCTTCGCAAATGTAAAGAGGAAGGTGCTCTACTCCTACATGGTCCGGTTCCACCAACAGGACACCCTGAGGAGCCACAAGGACCATGCCTGGAGGAGAGCCCTGCCCTGCATCTCTCCGGAGAGGCCTCGCTAGAGGCAACTCTACTCAAGCCCGACGTACAACCGCATCGGCGACCTCAGCTGGAGCATCGCCCACGGCACCGTCACCACCGACGCCTCCCTGGCGCGCTTCACCGACACGTCCCCGGAGTGCCGGTTCTGCGGTAAAGTGGAGACGGTGGCGCACCAATACGTGGAGTGCAAGAGCCTGGACTCGCTGTTCAAGGTCCTGAGAAACATCCTCCTAAGGTTCAGCCTCCACTTCTCCTCGACGGTCCTCATCTTTGGATACCCGAAGGGCGACGGACCCAACATCTTCAGGGGCTGGTCAACGTGCTCTTCGGCTACCCCATGCTCGTCATATACAGGGCGAGGAAGGTGGCCCTGGAGGGGCAACGTCCGGCCAGCAGCCTGGGCATCTTCCACGCTGTGGTCGGAGCCAGGGTGTGGGCTGGAGTTCCGCCATGCGCGGCTGACCCACGCCGTGCCGGCCTTCAAGGAGCAGTGGGCGCTGGAGGAGGCCGTGTGCTCGGTGGCAGATGACGGAGAGCTCTGCATGCAGATCTAAGCTACCCGTCGGAGGCCGTTTGACTGTGGGAAGGGCTGCGTGCAGGTGCATCACTTGTCGTAGTTATAAAAAAGAGAGAGAGAGCGAGAGAGTGAGCGAGAGAGAGCAAAATGGAGTAGGAAGAGAGGGGGCAGAGAGAGAGGGGGGGGCAGATAGGGGGGTAGAGAGAGATGAGGGGCAGAGAGGGGGTAGAGAGAGAGGGAAGGGGTAAGGAGAGCAGAAAAAAAAGAAAAACAATATTTTGTTGGGTCTTTCATTTAAAAGGGGGGGGGGGTTACATAAAGCCAAGCATAAAAAACCGAAATGATGAACGGAGCAAAGTGCCGACTACACCGAGCATCTTCTTGTTTCCTCTGATCGTAAAAAAAAGAGAGAGGGGGGGCATAGTGGGGGGTAGAGAGAGAGGGAAGGGGTGGGGAGGGCAGAGCGAGAAATCTTTTGTTAAATCTTTCATTTAAAAAGGGGGGGGGGGTTACATAAAGCAAAGCATTAAAAAAACACGAAATGATGAACGAAGCAAAGTGCCGACTAGACCGAGCATCTTGTTTCCTCTGATCGTAAAAAAAGAGACGGGGGGAAGAGGGAGAGAGACGGAGTGGAAGAGGGAGAGAGACGGAGTGGAAGAGGGAGAGAGACAGGTGGAAGAGGGACGGGCGGAGTGGAAGAGGGAGAGAGACGGGTGGAAGAGGGAGAGAGTGGTGGTGGAAGAGAGGGAGAGAGACGGGGTGGAAGAGGGAGAGAGACGGAGTGGAAGAGGGAGAGAGACGGAGTGGTAGAGGGAGAGAGACGGAGTGGAAGAGGGAGAGAGACAGGGTGGAAGAGGAAGAAAGGCGGGGTGGAAGAGGAAGAGAGACGGAGTGGAAGAGGGAGAGAGACGGAGTGGAAGAGGGAGAGAGTGGTGGAGGAAGAGAGGGAGAGAGACGGGGTGGAAGAGGGAGAGAGTGGTGGAGGAAGAGAGGGAGAGAGACGGGGTGGAAGAGGGAGAGAGTGGTGGTGGTGGTGGGGGGCGGCTCCTCGCCTCGGTTCCCGGCTTATCATCGTCCTTGCAGTGCACGGAAATGCAAGCCCGAGGAGCGCTGGAGTATAGAAGCTGAGAGGAGCGAGTGATTGGGTGGAGAAGCTTGACAGCCTGGAGAAGCTGGGAGGGGAGGAAGAGAAGCTGAGCGCGGGAGAGGCTGAAGGAGGAGAGTCTGGGAGCAGCGGCTAGGAGTAGAAGCTGGAGAGGGGTGCCGCTTGGACGAGGAGAGACGACGTGTGGCTGGGAGGAGAAGCTGGAAGAAGAAGAAGAAGGAGGAGGAGAGGCTGGGAGGCAGTGCGGCTGGGAGGGTACGGCCGGGAGAGGAGGCTGGGAGTCGAAGCTGGGAGGCGGAGAGACCGAGAGGAGGAGGAGGAGTAGGAGAGGCTGGGCGGTGCAGCTGGGAAGGCGGTACGACTAAAAAGAGGACTTGCGCAACCCCGCATTTGGGCAGCAGGGTACGCGCCGGCTCACAGCAACACAAGCACAACAGCGCGCGCGCGGACGCACGCACGCACGCACGCTCTCCCAATGCATTCCTCCGCACAATCGCACGCCACGTACTCACACACTCACACGCGAGCACACACTCACACGCGCCCTGGCAGAGCGACGGTGGCCAGGGGCTCGGCAACATTGGGGAGAGGTCCGACCATGGAAGGTCCGGCCATGCGCTGCAAGGTGGTGGTGATCGGGGACAGCCAGTGCGGAAAAACCGCACTGCTGCACGTGTTCGCTAAGGACAGCTACCCGCAGGTACCCATCATACCCCTTTACCCACGGGTAGTAGAATACGCCAGGGGGAGTGTGTACCGAAGTGTCCGCCTGATTGAGCGAGCGTTGGGGTGTTGCTCTTTCGGAGCGTGTGGTGTAAATTCCACGTTGTTATGGCGAGGGCAAGGGAATTCATGGTGGGGGGGGGGGGGGGGGCACGGTGGGGTTTCCCACACTTTACTCCATCCTCCGATGGGATGATGATGGGATGAGCAGACCCCGACCAGGATGTGAACTCATGTGATTGAAATTGTGAGTCGAGTGTCAGTCATCGTGGTGGTCAAGTGGAACAAACAAAACTAATAGTTTGTATTTGTAGAGCATATTCTAATCCAGAGATACCCGTGCGTTCGGCGTTATATAAACCCACATTGTGTCATTCACGTTGATAGCATTTTGAGTGTATGCATTATCTGCATCGGTTTGCGATCTCTACGTTTTGTGGAAGAGATGTATGTTGAACTTGTTTCGCACCGTACGTCGAGCAAACCATCATAATCGGAGGTGCGAATCACAGCGTTAAATAAGAAAATACTCGGAGAAAACCACGCCGAACCTGGTGTCGGATGATGCGTAATACAGAGATGACTGCGTGGCCACACTCAATGGGGTACTGAATCACCGTTGCATCCCCTGCTCGAATGAGAAATGGGGGGGGAGCGCTCCTTTTTCCAGGAGGTAAAATACAATCCTATAATCCCACGTAGGTCAGCTACTCACCGTTAGCTTCACTTTTCACACAGTGCCATCTAGTTGTGTGACCTTTTTTTGGAGGGGTCGGGTGGGGGGAGGGATCGGCCGGATCGTGAAGTAATTAATTTAATGAAAGAAAGAAAATCGCGAAGAATTCGCCTTGTTTTGTTTGTGCTCGCTGTATCGCGTCGATGCACGACTTTTTTTCTAATTGGAACTTGTTGCCAATGTATATGCAGTGGTTTTTCGATTGTTTTCATGGTTTTTTTTTGTTTACGTAATCAGATGCCCTTTGAAAATTAGCATTTTTTTGCCCAATGGGGTTTTCCTGTGGCCAAAATAAACCTGAAAAATCGATTCGCGTCGTTCCAAATCCAAAACCACGATTCGGGACTCGGTTCGCACCGCCGGAAATATATAAAATAAATCAATAAATTAATAAACACATCGGACTCAAGGAATGCGCGAGTGAAACGGGAACCAAAAGAGACTTACCACACGACTCAAAAATGTCGCACACAAGACTGGCAAGGGCACATTTTGTTCCGTATGTCTGACCACGAGACCAGTCGGTGTACATACTTACAGCCCAGTGGAGAGGCACAACGGCAAGCTATCGTCTTTGGTTCTTTCGGTAAAGTCACCACGTAGAATGAGAATAAAATAATAAATTGATAAAATAAAATAACACAATAATATTCTCACGACGTTTCGGCCACAACACAAGCGGCCTTCATCAGGTGAAGGGACGAGACTGTCTGGAGGACAACACTCCAGCGCTGTCCTCCAGACAGTGTTGTGGCCGAAACGTCGTGAGAATATTATTGTGTTATTTTATTTTATCAATTTATTCTCATTCTACGTGACTTTACCGAAAGAACCAAATAAGATTAATCCTTGCAGTCACGAAAGCTTTAAATCGAAATTTAACAGCAAGCTACTCTGTGGCTACTCTGTGTGACGAGGTGTGTGTGTGTATGGAGGAGCGGTAGTGCAGCGGTTAGGTATGTATGTTGAACTTCTTTCGTACCGCGCGTAACTAACCGTGCTAATCGGATGTGCGGTTAGCGCGCTGCGCGGTGAACGCAATTCCCGCTCACGGCCAATACAAGTGGCGGAATATCTGAACCGGGCCTGGGCCTCCTCTAGGTCGACTCAGCCTCAAATGAGCACAGTACCTGGTCCGCTGTATAAACATCGACACCTCTTCGCGTGCCGTGCCGGCCTTCGTAGGTGCTCGCTAACAACACTTGTTCCAAAAATTATGTTAAGGCTACAAGGCAGATCTCTGTCTTCCAGCCCTGCAGAGTTTGAGAATCCTACTAAAGGGGCTTACTCAGTGAGGTCACGCAGGCTGTGTCTGTAAAGCCACACGTTAATAGGAAGGCTCGCAATGCCATTACAATTCCTCGCACACAAAGCTGCCGTTAAGTATACGTAGCACAACTGAGTGGAGGGTGCACTGAGCGATATTCAAAGCTACTGTAATTAATTCTCTGGCACACATTGGGGCTCCCCTCTGGAACCAATACCGGCCTAACCGTTCACTGATTCGCTGACACAAAGCCCGTTATAGATTCCCTGTGCGTGTGTGCGAGCGATACCGTGACTGCGTGACCCTATTGACGCAAGGTTCAGAAGCGCCCCCGGGTAGCATGACGGAAGAGTGACATTTGATTAGTTGCCCGACAAACTGAATTAGCTCATGCGCCCGACATATGATGGGAGCGGGCGTGTGGGTTTTGTACCTGTGTGAGATGGTTACGCATGCAGTACACACTGCACGTGGGCCGTTTGAGCGAGCGAACGAGCGAGCCACATGCCAACCAGGGGCATGGACGGGACACGTGAGCAATTGATGTTTGAAACTACACAACCCCCCCTACCAGCTCCATGATGTCATTTTAATGGAATATTGGCGTGAGTAATTGGTATAGGTGGGCACGTAGCGCAATGCAATAATTAACTTGGGGAGTTTCATTATGCACGGGTACCCCATTAGGCAGAAAGCGAGTGGGGCGGCGTTGAAATAATTTTATCTGCACGCGTCTGGTGCGTTCATTTTTTTCTCTCTCTCACACTCGGGGCACCGAAGCGCATTAATCTCATGTGGCGTAAACACGACGATGATTCACGCAGTGTTGTCACCCTCCCCCCCCACCAACCTTTTTTTGCTGTTTGCGACGCAGACGTACATTCCCACGGTGTTTGAAAACTACACGGCAAGTTTTGAGATCGAGAAGCAGCGAATCGAGCTCAACATGTGGGACACGTCTGGTAAGGTGGCCGCGTCCATGTGTGGATACGGCCCATCTACACACTGTCTCTCTCTCTCTCTGTGCCACGTCCTCCCTCAAAGACGTTGCCGATCTTGGCCTTCCTTCTACCATTTATCTCTGTCCGTGATATTTACTCACGAAGTTTGCGTGAATGTGTGTATGTTGAACTTGGCCCCAAGGTGCACATGGCCTGGCACAAGCGTCGTGGTGACGTCGCCGCCACTTAGTGGCGAATGGCGGTTGTTGTTGTTGTTGTTGAACTTCTATCGCACCGCACGTAGCTAACCGTGTTGTTGGGATGTAGGAGATAATAGTCCTCCCAGTGGCATCTATTTAAAATTGCTTATGTACTTTATTCGCTGTCTTCTCTGGCTTTTCGTAACTATAATTATATTGAGCCTCTTGTTATCTCATTCGATGTCGATAATATCAAACCCTGCCTTTTTCTAATTACTCTGATTAATGAGCTGATTGTGTATCTGCTGCTATCTGTAAGACATTTATGTTACTTATCTTGTCTGTCCATTAAATATTTAACATCCTCCTTCATAAAACAAAAATCCTGTTTCTTCTTCTTTGTATCGTAGAGTTTTTGTAATTGTCCAGATTTCAAATTCATATAGGAGAACAGGCCTGCATATGTAACATTGCAGTATTTAAATTCTTGTTGTCATTAATAATTAGCTATTATTTTTCAACACAAATCCCATTTTCTGTAATATGAATTGAAAAACAGTTACTATACAAATCTAAATTGTGTCATAATTTAATGTTTTGTAGAGCGAAATTCCATTCTCATTGCAAGCAGTAGCTGGGCCCTGAGTGCAGTGCATGTATGTGTGTAGTGCATTTCCCTGCATGTCACCACACACTCACATTGCCCTTATATATATTTTAAATGCCTCACACCAAACTACAGGGAGTGAGGTGGTGTATGAAATAGGGCCATCCCATGTGCGCCTAGTGCCACAGACAATTAATCTGTGCGCATCACGAGTGTGAGCAGCGCATTAATGAGGATCACGAAACCATCACAGGCAAGATGCCCTTTAGTATTTCATATCATTTTCACGGTTGGTGGTCTCGGGCATGGGGCGCTGTGGCGGGTGTTTGGCCCAGCGTACACCACCACCACCACACACAGTGCCCAAATTACGACGGATTCATTCCAAGCACAGTTTACCGTTCCCACCTGACGTAAACTCCTATTTGCCTCCCCCCCACCACCCCAATTTCCACACCACCGCGGCCACAACTTCTACGCGATGTGCGATCACGTTGTACGTTTTACGGCGATAAAGTGATTAATTTCGCGCGGGTAGTGAGTTGGGTGGGGGGGGGTGAGTGATATATTTTTTTCCATATACACGCTGCGTTTTAATTTTAGCTTCACCCTGCCGCTTGTTTTGGAAGCATCCGCCAGCATGTTTTGTTGGGCACGTGCCGTGTCCCGCTGTGACGCCTGCTGCTCTCAACATTGCGCGGCGCAATCCAGAACCGTCGCGGACAGAATATATTTCAACACTTAATAAGTCCGTTTGACGATTATCTTCGGGGCAACCTTTCTTTCGAGGTTGGGCTCTTTAGAGAGAGAAAAAAAAGTATGAAATAGTTTTCTTTTATTTTTTTTTTACATTTTAACTCATGTGTCCTAATGGTCTGTCCTGTCTTAAAACTAGTGATGTTTTTAGTCCACGTGATTTTCTGTTTGCTGGACGCTTACATTATCTTTAATGCAGCCATGGCAATGTGTAAAGGGCTGGGCCCATTAACCACCATTTATTTTACCGCAAAGCCCTAAAAAAATTCAATTACACTTACATCTGAGGCATGGAAAAATAATCAATCGCAGCCCAATTATAGGAAGAAAAAGCGCAAATTGTATAAAGTGTGATTAAAGTCTCAGCAGAATTAATTTACTTTTTGGACAGTACTTTCCTGGCTTTCAAAAATCAAATCACAAAAGGCAATGCTTTTGAATGCCATGTGTGGTGGAATAAAAATAAATTAGAGGATATTTTGACATCGGATGTCCCTGCCAATAACTTCAGCGTTTGGATATAAATCCACACAATGCTCCAATATATATCCTCATTATGTTAAATCTGTCTTTGGAAGTCAAGTTCTGTCAATTCACTGCGCTTTTTGTCCCCGTCAAGTGCTGCTGTTGAGCATCATCACAAAGCAGCCAGAGAATGTGGACGCTGTGCGTTGTGGCATCTGGCCATGGCTCACTCCTCATCGCCAGTACCAATGCACATCTCTGGAAACCTGCCTCCTTCAGGGATAATCACACTTTGCACAGGAGAGCTATTTTCACGTATTAGGCCCGCTGCTCATTAGGCATGGACACAGAGCGTGGGGTGGGCAATGCACAAGAGCTTTCTCACACACACGCGCGCACGTGTGTGTCACGTGCCCTCAACACCCCATAGCCGGACTACCCAACCCCCTTCCTGTATCACTAACACACTGGCCACACCCGTGTTGATTTCACACCCGACTGCCCGGGTCTTTGGCAGATGGGGTGGAGGGGGGCTGAGTTGTGCTGAACGGTAAATTGGACCACACTTTTGGTGGCAAGCTAATGACGGATTGCCTCTCGCCAAGTGTGCGTGACAAAAAAAATAACCGAGCACGGCAGCTTCTGAATACACATTCACGCACGTGTGCCAGAACGCCGATACCTTCCAACACGATCGGCACGTGCCCCCTCCGCAGGCTTATCGCTCACATTTCGTGGGAGCAGCGTGCGCTATGCAACACACAAGGAGGGCAATTTAAGAGAGATGTATGCTTAGCCACTCTGAATAAAATAGCTTTATGTAACACTGGGGTTTTTTTATATATACGAACGTTAAAAACAAAAAGCATCTCTAAAGATATACTGACATATCAGAGGGCGTGTAATGCTAGCTTCTTATTGCGCCTGGGCCACAAGTTCGCACTGCCTGTGATGGCAAATGCCCGAATGTAAACAAAATGAAGCGTACTGGGCAATTAACACAGGACAATCAATTGATACATTGCCGTGGGGACAGTTGTGCCAGAAACATGGCATGTAGTTAAGTCGCTGTATTGAGAAGGTGTAATGAGTAATCACCAGCTTAGGCAAAACACAAGGCCTTGCTGCGCACTCAAGAACGTTTCCTTACCGGTAAGATTTTTTTTTTTGGAACTTAATGGTACGAAGCATGACAGAATTATTTAGAGCTAAGCCCTGTGCGTGAACCCAAATTAACCCTGTCCAAAAGCTAATCCAAACTCTAATTAAAAATTTAACTGATAAGCTGGGGATATCTGTAATGTATTCTGGTGAGTATGCTTTGAGATTAGGTTGTCTTTTAATCCATATCTTAACTCTATAATGTCTGGTAATTAGGCTCTTGGCACCATTACCCAGTGTGTATACTCAATACAATATTTCCTTCGTCGCGATAATCTTCCATCAAAAGGCCCCTGCTTGACCCACTGTGGAAATGCTTATTTAAAGTCTATTAATAATTTACAAAAGAGATTATGAATCCAGTTTGTTGAGCGTTTACATTTCAAAGATTTTTGTTAAAAAACAACAACCCCCTTTTGCCCAACACATAGACTTACAATTACTACTTTTGAATGCAGTTGCAGCATTACGATTGCAACATTGATTGTCGAGAGTCGTAACAATCCAACAATGGTCTTGTTTATTTTGAATTCTTAATAGCTCTTTAAATATACTTTCAAGGGACGCATTACCGTTCGTTGATGTTTTCTAATTGCAAAACAGTCACTGCAGCGTTTCCATCCCATTGAGCATTCGGATTGAACTCCTCAAGTTGTTTAGCGGTATCGCTTCGAGGTTGTTCAATGAACATTTAATTGCCAACACATTTTGTCGTCAATAAATTGATGTGCAAGTTAATTGTTCATTTGATTAATGTGGTAGCAAGGCTAAAGACAGCATCAACCTCGACCCGTTTATTTTTCGCGTGCTTGTTTTAATGCCTGCGAGGTCACCAAGAGAATGTATTCGTCACAGACGAAGCAATAAAAGGAGGTTATAATAGGGCGCTTTGAAAGAATATGGCGGAACAACGGCGAGCCGGTCTCATCGGTGGGAGCCATGGCATGGCCCAGCTGAAGAGTTTGGCTAACCGCTAAACTAAATAAATTCTATGCAAAACAACAACGGTAACAACAATAAACCATCACTAAATATTTCCGCAAGTACGGTGCATGTATTATCTCATCTAATTTATATTTAGAGAGGGCCTTCACGGAAGTATGCTTAACGTTGCTTACACTGTAACTTCATATTTTATATATCATACACAATATATATCATGTTCTCGAATATTTGTATTACACGTACATTACAGAGCATTCTAAGGTGTACAGTATATACGTCGTTCCGTTATATTGATCATTTTTACATATTTCAATAAATAATTTATATTTTTGTTAACGAAACTGGTGCAGCAGAATGCAAAATCCGTCTCGCCTGGGTATTACTATTGAATAACATAACAATAATAAACAACAGCGAGAAGAAATACAAAGAACATTTATAAAGAGCCAGCTCTTTAATGTTCTGCCGCTTTTAAACTTCACGTTTGCGAATAAGGCAACGGACATTTTTTTGTATTGATGCCAAAATTGCCATCGCAAGATCGGCGGTTGTTTTTGGAGCTTCGACGTGACTCGTGTTGGCTTTTGATGCCATCACTTGACAGAAAGAGTTCCACGTCTTTACTGAAGACACGGAGTGACATTCTCAGCAGTCGTGTTTTGCTCGAGAATTCTCTGCACAGAGTAAAAGTATGTCGCAGATAAATAAAACCATCAAAGTATGGGCACTTTCAGTGTGTGGCACTATAATTTTAGATTCATGGCGAATGGTCAAACTCAACGTGGCAGAATTTTCTGTAGAACAATGTGGAAAGGGAAACTACTATAATTATAAACCCTTTCCTTTAAGTTTGCTTCAAAAATATTAAATTGGGTGTCTTAACTTTT